TTTYTCAAACTAAAATGCTCACCAAAGACAAAGTTGTCAGGTCTGAACACCTGACCGAAAGGACCAGACCTCACAGAGTCCATAGTGCCAGGCTCCAGGTCCACCAGAACTGCACGAGGAACATACTTGCCTCCTGAGAAATAAAAATACGCAGAAAAGGTCTAAACAAAATTTATATTAATAATTTAATACTGACTTGGTGCTTTATTATAAGTTTACATTAAGCAGTCAAATGTTGTTCACCCCATTACTATGTTTTCACAATTAAATGCTAACCTTTTTATGCATTAATTGTTAGATTTTAAGTAAGGTGAATAATTAACGCGGAGCAGTTGTGGTAGACTTTGTTAGCTTGTATGTTGGAAACTGATCCATAGTAACCGTTGAATTTAACAAACGGACGTTGAAGGCCCTCTGCTGGATAAACACAGTGCTTATGGGGGGTTTGCCGAGAAGGTATTGCATTACCTTCGGTCTCACAAATTATCTAATCTAACCTTGTAGCTAAGAATGCTTAGCAAAAGAAGCTAAGTTTAAACCTGAGGCCTCGTTGTAATACACGTTGATCCGCTCCAGCTGCAGGTCGCTGTCCCCATGGTAGGTCCCGGTCGGGTCGATGCCGTGTTCGTCGCTTATCACCTCCCAAAACTACAAAAACACAAAAATAAGAAAATATATATTAAAACGGTAAATATATAGGATAACTCGATTGACTTAAGCAGCTAAAGCCCAACCCAAACGCTGTTAACCGTTATTATTTTTGCTAAGTAAGCTAACGATAAGTTTAGCAGCCCGCGGAAACTGATTCTAACTTTGAATCCATCGTTTTTCACATCCCGGTGTCTCTCTTACCTTCGCTCCGATTTGGTTGCCGCATTGGCCAGCCTGCAAATGAACAATCTCTCTCATTTTTATCAAAAATWAAAAAGAAACAACTTAGTCGGACACCAAAAAAAATACTTGTACGCACTCTTCAGCAGCACTCCACAAATGAACAGTGAGGTAGATGCGAAACGTTCTTAACGGTCGATTGCGCGCACGCAATTGGACAACCAAGCTGTCGGTCAAATCGTGCCACGCATATGATTGGTTGTTATAACTTACCGAACAATTGCGCGCACGCAATTGGACAACTAAGCTGTCAGTCAAATGTGCCACGCATCTGATTGGTTGTTATAACATACCGTTCGATTGCGCAATCGCAATTGGACAACCAAGCTGTCAGTCAAATCAAACCACGCATCTGATTGGTTGTTAGAACTCACTGTTTAATTTTAATTGGCCAGTATTCCTAACCCTTGGTTCCTATAGTGACATCAAAGAAAAACATTCGCTGTTGGGGCCGAAGCTTTTTTTTTTTTTCATTTGGTCTTTCGTACAACATTTATAATTTCAACAACATTCATAATCTTCACATGTCAACGTTTATGCTCCGATGAAACCTCCGTTATACATTGTAGTTACATGACCCTCAATCCAAAATAGTAAGTTTATAAAGATAACAACCGTCATCTTTATGACCGTTAGCATGAGAGCTAATAGCCAATCAGCCGCCTTGACTCCAGTTTCAGGCTAAATGAGCAGTTTCTATGGTAAACTTAACTTTATGACAAAAATACATGAACAAACCATCCAACTGTCAACTGCGTGCTAACAACCAAATGTATGCAAATATCTTTCTTGTCTTAGAAATGACACAGCTTATTTAATCCACTAGCTCTGTGTGCTATTAGAGCTTCCAGCACAAACTCAGAAACTTTTATAGCAAATTATCATAAATATTTTAGCCTCATATATTACATACATTTATTTTCAACAAATGCGCTTTCTTTTACTCCAATGAATAAGAGCATTTTATTAATCATATTACTTGATGACTTATTTACTTTTACTTCGCTGTTGTTTATAGTAATTTTCTTTCAAATGACTGTACAACTCAATGAGTGACGTCATATTCATGCGACTGTTTACATGCGACATCAGACATGGCTCTCTTTCCAGCTTTTGCCGAAGCGGCTAAAAACAAAGTTGACGATTCGGCTAAAGGTGATTCTTTCATGTAGCACGTACCTATTAATATTTTTTAATGTTAGTAGCTTATAGTCAGAAAAAAAACCGGAAATAAAAAGATTAAATTCGCGCTAAACGTTCGCTTGTCGTCGGAGACTTGAATTACAGAATTCAGCTTCTGTGAAAACATAATTTTATGTAACATTTTAGACTATTTTAAAGGAGTCATAAATTGTTTACAATTGTTGTTACAACACATTTTATTGTTTGTTTTTCTTTCAGAGTTAGATTGGCTGAATAATAAGAGTTTTCTGACCGGGGATGCGCTCTCCCTTCACAGTCGTTTTACAGACAAGAACAGTGAGAAACCCAACCAGAGGGAAGCGAGGTAAAAAWAAATAAATAAATAAATAATTTGTGCAGTCACAACACATTTTTCTTTCATACTGCTATACCTGAATCCTGTTACTAAAATATCACCGTTACACACTTTATAACTTCCTTGCGAAGACGCCAGAATGCTGGGCTGAAAATCAGTTTTTATAAATGAGAAATTCTGTTCATATTTCATTGATGTTGAAATAATTTTATACTTCTTAGTGCCGCAAGAGATCTTACCTCTACTGAGGAGGAAGAGAGAGGAGGAAGTGAAGTGCCACCTAAAAAGAAGAAAAAGAAAAGCGAAAAAAGGAGGAAAAAGAAGAAAAAGCACAAGAAGAAGAGCGGGAGGTATTCAAGCAGCAATGGGTCAGACTCTGACAACATCTATCCCAGTGACCTTAAAAGGGAAGAAGAGGAAGTTAGKTGAGGACTGACAGTTTGACTTCACAGATGTTTATATTCCTTTATTGCTTTTTAAAAAATTTTTGTATGTATTTATGTTTTTTATGTGTGTGTGCATGTCCATGCAGGCAGCAGGCTCCGTTGGCGAGTCACTTCTCCTGGTTGGATGATCTCCAGTCACCCACAGATCAGCCCTTCTGCGTGGATCGTAAACCTGACCCGGCTAACTGGACTTACAAGTCTCTGTACAGAGGAGACATTGCTAGGTAGCACATGCTCTTCACCACCAGCCGTGCACCACAAACATTTAGAACTAATATGGCTTTCCTTGTGGAATGGGAACAGTTTTCTGGATCCCTGTTTATGTAAACAAAATGTAAAACTTTACAGAAACCTTGACTGTAACTTACTGTTTGTGTCTCAGGTATAAGAGAAAAGGCACCTCCTCTTTGGGTCTGAACTCTCAGCGGCAGGCTGTCAGCTGGGACGATTCAGAAACRAAAAAGAAACAAAAGGGAAGGGACAGTAAAGCAGCAGACCGATATTATTCAACAGCCAGTCGGCAGATGCTGAGGTCTGAGCCTCCAATTCCTGTATTATCCTCTGATAATAGTGATGCCTTCAGGTCCACCGCCTTCCTTCCGCTTGGTGATGTTGATAAGGACAACAAAGAGTCAGGTACTTGTTTAATTTACAGTAAACATAATGGCTTCAAACATAAACACATAAAATGGTTCAGAGAATTAATGTAAGAGTTTTTGTTTAGACATGAAGAAAATTATGTCATCTTATGCGTGGTTCACAGGGCAACATTTTAAAATTGACGTTTGATTTTCAAAGATTGAGTGACCCCACACACGACGATAAAAATAATCAAGGATATAACATATTTGGCCCTACAGTGTGTGGTGTGCAGACACACAGCAAAGACAACACACCCCACACAAACAGATTTCACTCATGAACTCATGAGGATGTCAGATGGAAAAATTTAGCGAAACCTCTCAAGATCAAACACGAGTTCAGAGTAAATAAACATGACCGCTGTGGAAGAAGCAATGACGGCAGTTTGTGGACTGTATTTATCAGAGAATAAACAAAAAAAAAGACGTCTCCGCTGTCCGCCGGACATGGCAGTTTTTTTTCCATCACCTTGCTTTCTGATTGGACGCACGTCACATTCAACAGGCTGCACGCTCGTTTTTCCTCTGGAACACCACACATGCTGAGATATCAGGCCAAGACGATCCAACGTGTTGAATATCCCCGATTTGAGATTGGAGCGGTCCTGACGTCCTTCAGAGCTGACTGGATCAGTCTGAACACACCACACACAGCAGGAATATCTCCTAAGATTGACTTTAGARCCATCACCATAATTGGGGCATTCAAAAGATTGTTGGAAGGGCATGTTTCTGGTCAAATATCTTTATAATCTTGGCGTGTGAACCATGCATAATGAAGTTTGGTGTCCTTAATGTTATTTTCAAAGTTTAATCAAAACATCTACAACTCTGTTTTTTCTCATCATACAATCTTAGTCTAAAACTCTAGTATTACAGGCGGTGGGCGATATGCATTGTTTTTGTACTCTTTTTGCTTTGACTAGTTTCTAATACTGATCTTTTGGATTTAGGTGACAGAGTACAGACGTTGTCAGTAAATCCCCTCGGTGTGTATGACTCGTCCACGACACTCTGGCTGCAGGGAAAAGGACCACAGGACAATCAGAAGGTGGAGTTGGAGACGGAGGAAACCCCGGTGCGTGTAGTTGGGAGGACTGAGGAGTTCAACAAGCGGCTCAGAGAGCAGCCGACAGACACACAGCTGTGGATACAGTTTATAAACTACCAGGTGAGACGTTTTTTTAAATACTTCTTCCTATTATCGGTTATTATAACAATCCAATTGAATAAATCAAGACATCGTTTCATTAACCAGTAACTTCCTCACCTCCTGCAGGATGAAGTGAGTGCCGTGGCGTTTGGAGGCGAGGAGGAGCAGCAGGGCAGCGATTCAGCTGAGCGCCGTAAGTCCTCCTACAGGGCCATCCTGGAGAAAAAGCTGAGCATCGCTGAGCGAGCCGTGGCCTCCAATCCCACCTGCATCGCTCTGCAGCTGGAGAAGCTCAAGATCTGCCAGGAGCTCTGGGAGCCTTCAGCTCTCGCTAAAGAATGGAAGAAACTCGTAAGTTTCCATAAAAAGAACATATTTGTATTTTAAACTTGTAATGCGTTGATGACGTCGTCTGGCAGTAAGACCCTGTCCTGCCGCAGTGACCTTTTAGTGGAGTTTTGGAAGTTATTTTAGCGAAGAAAGCATCGCTTGGTTAGCTTTTGTATATTTTATTGTTAAAATCATGTTTTATTTCAGGTGTTCCTCCATCCAAACAGCGCCCCCTTATGGAGGAAGTATCTCCTCTTTACTCAGAGCTACTTCAGCTTCTTTACTGTGACAAAAGTCAACTCGGCGTATGGAAAGTGCCTGAGCACGCTCAGTGCTGTGCGAGACGGCAGCATGTTGTCTCATCCGGCGCCGCCAGGAATAGAAGAAGACATGTTGGGTAAAATATATTTATTTACCTGTTTTTCTTTTCTCATAGATTCAGTTGGAAACTAAACCCACCTTCTTCTTTTTTTCTTTCTGTTTTTGCTTCAGATATCTTCACCCAGCAGTGTCATTTCCTGCGGCAGTCGGGTCATTCTGAGAAAGCGATTTCTCTGTTTCAGGCCATGATGGACTTTACTTTTTTCAAACCTGACAGTGTGAAAAATCTGTCCACCAAGCAGCAGGTACACAAACAGACCASAGAGATTTAGTCCTGAGCAATGGTGGGCACAGTTCCCATAAAGCACTAATAAGGGAACTAATTTCCTGATTAGTGCTTTAGGGCTTTTGCTAATTTCTTAATTTATTAGTGGATTAGCACTTGCTAAATTTATAAGCATTAATTGAGTTCTTTAAATATTATTGATCATCATTATTGTCAACAGCTGAGGGTGAAAGCTGTCAGACGTGTTGCGTGTCAAATATCCACTAGATCAGTGGTTTTCAAACTTTTTTGCTTCCGACCCACAAAATAACACGTGCAGACACTCGTGACCCCATATATTACTTGTTTATGTACGCAAACTTTGCTAATAACTCTGTTAAACATGGGAATAATAATAACTGTACACAGACCTAGTAACTATGATACTAATTTTTATTCATTTATGATTATTTCAAATTGCCATAATCATGATTAAAATATTCCATTAGCATTTTTTTTTACATTTAAACTGATGTCTGAAAATCATTTGGGGACCCTCACATGATGTTTTGTGGCCCACAAAGAGGTCTCGACCCCAACTTTGGGAAGCACTAAACTCTATGAAATATTAACAATATTCTGCACACAGAAAATATTGTCTCATGTTGACTCTGAGGAGTGTTCCATGGCTCAGCTGGGTTTTTAGTGCTTTAGAATTAGCTTTTGATAAAATTTTAAGTGTGTTAGTGCTTTACAATTAGGGGACCTAAATATTAAAGTTAGGGTTTTAGGGTTATTGCAACTAATTTTTAGATTAGTGCTGCCCACCACTGGTCCTGAGTTTCAGTGATTAATTTGTGGTTCATCTTCATCAAATAAAAAAAATAGTTCAAAGCATTTTATTTATTTATTTATTTATTTATTTTGGTGGGAGAGTTGTATTTTGTCATATGTGAGTTTCCGCCTGTTTCCATGTGGACAGGTTGAGTTCTTCGAGCCGTTCTGGGACAGCGGGGAGGCGAGAGTTGGGGAGGTCGGCGCTAAAGGCTGGAAATCCTGGATGATCCAACAAGAGCGAGGAGGTTGGGTTCAACCAAGCGAAGGTAACGCATACAGTCAGACATTTAAAGTGCCTGTGACATCAAGTTTTTGTGATAAATGTGAATGTATTTTTGGAAAAGAGAACATCGATAACATATTGCAAAACAAATTTCAAGCCATTGAGATGAATAGTTGTAGAGATATTTGCATGTAAAGAAACAGGAAGTGATGTCAAAGGGGAGTGTCTGCATGTAAACAGAACGATGCTACAATAATTAGAGAAGAATCTGATGTTTCTTTAGGTTATTTTGAGTCACTGTCAGAGTTGAAGAAGAGTTTGATTAAGATTGTTTCAATAAACAAAGACTAGAGAGTTCTTAAAGAGTTCCCCTTTGATGTCACTTCCTGTTTCACTTTGCTGAGCCAAGTTCAAGAGGAAATATGCCAGTTTTGGGACAAAATGGGTTAAATCGTGTATTATGCTAATTTAAGACATCTAAAATGACAATATGATGGATTACATGATTCATATTATCAGTGCAATAATGATAGTCAGGCAAAACGAGCTTGTTTTTGTTGGTTTCTCTGCAGAGGAGGAGGAGGATGAGGAGGAAGAAGAGGAGGAGGTGAAGGACGGGAGCCTGCCCCGAGCTGCAGTGTGGCTGGATGTGGAGTCGTCTCGGGAAGCAGCTCATTGGCTGCCCTGGAGACCCGACAAGACCAAGGGCCAGTCGGAGGAGGACTGTGAGGACCCTGACAGACAGGTCTTAGGAACCCTCTGAGGATGTTTAAAGTCTTGGTCTCGTTTCGTCTCTGTTCAACATCCCCGCCTTCCTCTCACCTTCTCCAGGTGCTGTTCGACGACATCGGCCCATCCCTAATTTGCCTGTCTTCACCAGAGCTCCAGCTCCGACTTCTTCTCCATTTCTCATCCTTTCTGGGTCTCCCGGTGCACTCTGCGCCTCCTTCTGCCCTGTGTCAGCCCGACCTTCTCCTGGAGAACCTTTCTCTGCTCACTCAGGGTGAATATTACACGAGACCAGCTGGGATTTCCCGTTCGGCTCACACGGTGCGTCTTTTTAGACGAGAGTAACGACGTGTTCTCAACAGGTAACGACCCCCAGCGTCCTCTGACGTCCTACGATCTGCCTGACCCCGGGGTTAACCCTGTAGGTCACATGACCACCCTTCAGGGAACCAGGAAGTGGGCGGGGCTCGGGCGGCAGGGTGAGAAGTTTCTCACCAACGTGCTCAACACGATGCAGCCTCTCCTCCCTCCCCACCACCGAGCCGTTCTGTCACTCTGCTGGATCCAGTACGAGAAACTCAAGGTGTTCTGTTTAACTCTAACAGCAGTGTGCAAAAGTCTTGAGCCGCCTTTTACATCTTTACATGCTGCCTTTAAAATGCCTGTGACATGCATAGCTATGAAATACAAAAAGTCAAAGAAAATATATTTATATTTAAGAAACTTGGCACAATACATGTGATTTTACCCATTATGTCACATAATTGGCATATTTTCTTCTGAACTTGGCTCAGCCAAAGTGAAACAGGAAGTGACATCAAAGGGGACTCTTCAAGAAATAAAACTTTCTCGTTTTGTTTATTTAAACAATATTATTTGAACTCTGACTCATCTCTCTATGACGGTGATTAAAATAATCCAAAGAAACATCAAATTCTTCTCTACAGTCTGTGTTATTAGTCATTTTAGCAATGCTCTGTTTACATGCAGACATTCCCCCTTTGACATCACTTCCTGTTACTCCACATGCAAATATCTCAACAACTGCTCATCTCAGCGGCATGAAACATTTTTTACAATATGTTTTCAGTGTTATCCTTCCAAAAATACACTCATTTTTATTACAAAAAAAATGATGTCACAGACAACTTTAAGGAGTCAGATTCACTTGTGAACTTTTAAAGTGCCTGCTTCACTCATTTTGATAGATTTTTAGAAATAAAGCCCATAGATATTATTTAAGCTCTGTCACCTTTTTAGTTTTTTGTCCTCTACTTGTCTAATTTCCTCAAATCTTTTAAGAGCCGCTTGAATTTAAAATGTAAAGAAATGAGGAAGATACCAAGCCTTTTGCACAACATTCTAATTCATATTCTAGTTTAAAAAAATATCCTCTAACACTCTTTTTTAATTTGCTGGACAGGTTTTGCGCTGCTTGCGAAGCGCCCATAAAAAGCGACTTCGCTCTCAGGGTAAGAGCAGCAAGCGAGTTGTTAGGAGGCTGCTCAAAGAACCCGAGAACCGCTCGTCGCTGGCGTTGTGGCGGGAGTACGCGCACCTGGAGTGGCTGCTGGGGAACCTGGACGAGGCCCGTAAGGTGTTCTCCACGGCCGCTGCGATGGGCGGAGCCAACGGTCTGAGCAGCCCCGCCCTGTGCGATCTCTGCCTGCTGTGGGCCCAGCTGGAGGTGGAAGACGGGGTTAAGGAGCATGCGGGGCGACTCCCTGACGTAACCACGTCGCCGGCCGTCTGCGTTCTGGCCCGGCTCGCTGAGGGAGCGTCATCCGGGTCCGTCTCCCCCGTTTTCATCCTGAAAGCCAGGAGGTCATTCGAACAGGCTCTGGACCAGAACATCCAGAGGCTCCAATCAGACAAAGAAGGTTGAATTTTGCTCCACTAGAACTCAGCTGTAAACTCGAGTCTTTTGCATTTTTATTGTTTATCTTGTTTGTTTTTATCCCACCAGGAAGCTCAGAGGAGAGTTTGAGGTTGAGAGAACTGGTCGGCTGCTTCATCCTGTTCCAGTACCTCACAGTTGGCATCCAGGCGGCTATGGCTGTTTACGCCCAGGCGAGGGAGAGGATGGAGGAGCTGCTCCTCAAACCGGCACCAGAAGGTCAGCAGAACCGCAACAAGACGGTCGCACCCGAGGCGAGCCCCTCCGCCGACCTCACGAACAGGACGGGCCGTTTGGCTTCAGAGTGCGAGGCGCTGTCGGTGCAGCAGGCGGCACTGCTGAGGTTCCACGGCAGCACCGCGGTGTTCCCTCTGGCTACGCTGAGACAGATGCTCACCTCCGCCCTCTCCGCCTGGCCCAACAGCGCCCCCATGTGGAGCATGTACCTTCAGGTTTGCTCTTGATCTTCACTCTGGGTCGTTCAAAACCAATAAGAGACGTCGGTGTTAGTTTACACACGTGTGTTTCAGGTGGAGAACCGACACCACAGCGCCGGCCGGGCTCGGCGGTTCTTTCACACCGTTACCAGAGACGGCAGCAGCAGCGTGGTGCCCCGTCTGTTTGCTATTGTTGCCGAACAACAGAGGAAGCAGCTGGTGGACGCTGCTCAGAGGTAAAAAAAAAAAAAAGAAAAAAAGACACAAGTAACAACGCCATAAAAAATCTAATGTTTATTATACCTCTTTTCTACAAATAAAGTGTGAGATTTGTGCAAAATAACACAAGTATTTCTCGTGTTATTTTTAGATCATGCTGCTTTGATAAGCCCTCGCCTCTGCTGCCAGAAATCGGCCTCAGTAACCGAATCCGCGGACTGTTTGAGAGCGCCATAGCAACAGAGACGGGCGCTCACTGCTCTTTGCTGTGGAGGATGTACATCCACTTCCTGGTGAGACAGAAAAATTCCTCACAAACATCCTCTGGTTACTCTGCTGACTAAAAATAGAAGAACGGTTTCTAATTAATGTGCTTTTCCCACAAAATCCCCCATCGTTTACACAAACTTGTGAAAACTTAGTGGTTAATTTATGTGTGGATGTAAAGTGTTTTTTTTTTTTTTTTTTTTTGTGAATTTGTAGGTGTCTGAAGGTAAAGTGGAGAAAGCCAGAGGGATCTTCTACAAGGCCTTGCAGAGCATCCCCTGGGCCAAGGTGAGACTCGGTCATTAAAGTTTTATTGCCCCAGCAGCAGAGGATCTCTCGTTTTTAACACTAAACTTGCTCATCATTTCTGTGAGTTTTTGTGTAAATGTGTTTTAATGTGTGTGTGTGTGTGTGTGTGTGTGTG